GGTCCAAAACCTTTCTCAAATTTACGTAGCTATTATTCTAACTTTCTCTAGATCCACAATTAGGTGTCACCTTACCCCAATCACAAAATATATGTGGAGGTAGTCAATACTTGTCTTCTTCATTGGGCACACACAGGGGTTTTCATTCAACCCCTTTTTTTCATCAATTTTCAACTTTTCTCATTTTGTCTCCTATGTTTTCCAGAAAAGTCTAGGATACAAAGAAGACTGATTCCTGGAATTATAGTGGTGGGCAGAAAGAACTTTTGGCGGTTTACATTCTTCAAGTTCAATAGAGGTTGATAAAAGAAACAGATTACAGAAAATAGTTTTTCTATAGGTTGAATTAAATCACATTGAAGTCTCAAACAATTAATTCCTTTCATGTTTGCATTCTCCTTCATTGTTGGGGTGGAAAAGTGTTATAGTTTTTTCATCCCAAAAGCCCAACTTTCACTTGTCACACTTGCCAGTATTTTGAAGGATCAGTCTCTGATTTTGAATAGACATATCTTGTGATCGATCACCCATAAGACTTTGAAGAGCAAATAATTAGTAGTTATACCCTTTTGTTGTTGTCTTTCTGGGGTGATGGGAAAAGGGTGGCTTTTGAGATGGGTTTTTGTGGTGGTGATTGGGGTGATGAGTTGGTGGGGTGTGGAAGGGCTTGGGGTGAACTGGGGGACCCAAGCCACACACCAGCTGAGAGCAGACACTGTGGTTGAGATGTTGAAGGACAATGGGATTCAGAAGGTGAAGCTGTTTGATGCAGATGAGTCTTGCATGGGTGCTCTATCTGGGTCAGGGATTGAAGTCATGGTTGCCATTCCCAATAACCAACTTTCTGAGATGAGTGAGTATGATCGTGCCATGCAGTGGGTGAAGAAGAATGTCACACGGTACAACTTCAAGGGTGGAGTTAACATCAAGTGAGCTACTTAACTTTCTCTCACCTTTTGTTTTAATTAACACACAGAGTGTCAATTTTGTGAATGTGGGATACGTTTTTTTAATCTTGAGGGAGTGTAGAATGTAAGTAATGAATCTGATCTGAGTGTTTATCTGGTTTCGTGTTTTGCTTGTTAATTTCGATTCTTGCTTTGATTTGGCTTCGATATATGGCCTATATGTGAGAGATCTTTGAGGTTCTGTGTGATCAAATATAATTGACATGAGAAGAAAGCTTTGTGCCCTATTTTCCGTTGCTGTTTATGGAGGACTGGAAATAGTGTGGGAATTCAATTTTTTAAATATTCACACATTCTGTAATTTAGAATCACCAGAAAAAAAAATCAGATTACTCGTATTTTATTTTAGTAAATTTGTATTAAAACACATTTTTGTTATTTTATGGTTCACTAACAAAATTTTACATTAAAAATTATGCACATTATTGAAATAAAATGATGATAATAACTTAGATTCTCTACTTTTCATCTTATGGTTGAAAGTATAATTAATTACTGTATGCAATTGGCCTTCACTGGATCTAAGAGGGAGACACAGCAAAAAATGACCTGAAGTTGTACTGTGCCTTCTCGGAGTATAGATTCTCTTTTTTGGTACTTGTGGAGTGGCTTCTTGTGAGAAGGTTTTAAAAAAATAGATTTTAATTGGCCGATTCAACTGCTAGGTCCGTAGTACTAGTTATTCCTTTTGTGATTAGAAAAATATTTAAAAATTTACACTTTGAAAATAATAATTTTGAGAGAACTCGTTTCACTTCATCTTTCCCATCTTTTATAAATGGAAACATTGGTCTTGAAGAAATGTTGAAAGGCATACATAGAGATGCAAGGAAGAGAATAAAGAAGTATTGTAGTTTTGAGTGTTGCAACTTGGATAAATTCTGCCTATGTTAGAGCTTCAGATGAATTTTGTGCTACTCCAACTTGGTTTTCTTTGCAATTGCTCAAGAAATTTGAGATTAAGATTTAAGTAAAGTCTTCCACAAAGTGACAACTCCAAATGACAAGCCCACTGAGGAGATTGGAATTGTCACTTGAAAAAGATTTATAAACTTTTGTACTGTCTTGGAAAGTTTTTCTCAATTCCTACTTTTGAGCTAGATAATTCCAATGAATAGTGCATATTAACGAAGTGTTTGTTTATTCTGCACTTCATCTTTATTCTTTCACAGGTATGTAGCAGTGGGGAACGAGCCTTTTCTGAAATCCTACAATGGTTCATTCATGAAAGTCACCTTCCCTGCATTACAGAACATTCAAAATGCCCTCAATGAGGCTGGTCTAGGAGACTCCATAAAAGCCACAGTGCCCTTAAATGCTGATGTGTATGAGTCTCCTGTAAACAACCCTGTTCCATCAGCTGGAATGTTTAGGCCTGATATAAGTGACCTAATGACCCAAATTGTGCAATTTTTGGCCAAGAACAATGCACCCTTCACAGTGAACATTTACCCCTTCTTGAGCCTCTATGGGAATGACAATTTCCCTTTTGACTATGCCTTCTTTGATGGGGTGAGCAATCCCATAAATGATAATGGGGTTATATACACCAATGTCTTTGATGCAAACTTTGACACCTTGGTCTCTGCCCTCAAAGGAGTGGGGCATGGGGACATGCCAATTTTGGTAGGAGAGGTAGGGTGGCCAACAGATGGTGACAAAAATGCCAATGTAGGCAATGCTTTTAGGTTCTACAATGGCCTTCTGCCAAGGCTTGCATTCAATAAAGGGACCCCACTTAGGCCAAAATACATTGAAGTTTATCTTTTTGGGCTCATTGATGAGGATGCCAAAAGCATAGCCCCAGGGAACTTTGAGCGCCATTGGGGAATTTTTCAGTATGATGGCAAGCCCAAGTTTCCAATGGACCTTTCTGGAAAAGGCCAAAACAAGTTGCTAGTTGCTGCACAAAATGTGCACTATCTTGATCCCAATTGGTGCATGTTCAACCCTGATGCACAGGACCTAAGTAAACTTGCTGATAACATAAATTATGCTTGCAGCCTTGCTGATTGCACTGCACTTGGATATGGATCTTCTTGCAACAACGTGGATGCAAATGGGAATGCCTCATATGCATTCAACATGTATTATCAGACACAGGATCAGAATTACATGGCCTGCAATTTTGAAGGTTTGGCAAAGCTCACAACAACCAACATTTCAACACCAACTTGCAATTTTATTATTCAGATAAACCCTTCCCTATCCCCTTTTTTGAGGCCCCCAATAGTAGCTTTCTTGTTTATCACTCTTCCCTTGATTTTAATTTTGTAAGGTCTTGTACATACATTATTACAGGCACTGTCTTATTTACATACATACATACATGTGTTCATCAGTTGTTGTACGTGGAGATATTCTGAATGATATATTTTAGTTTGAAGATTCACTCAATAAAGAATTTTTTTGACTTGGGCATCAAAGATCAGATGGAAAAAGTATGCCTTCTAAAGGCCTTAAATTGCACTTTTAAGTCTTAAATGCATTTGACTTTTCATTCTGTGATCTAATTCTGCGGTCCTCACATGTATCTGGGAAATACCATGCTATTTTATATACATGGGGTTATCAAAGCATTGATAATAGCTTATTTTATTAAAATAACTTTACTTCTTAATAAAAGAATCAACCGACAAATACACTAATTAACCACTATAATTTTTTTAATTTACTTTCCAAGAACGGGATCTTAAATTATTAGATGCAAGAATCAAATGTAACATTTGCAAGCAAAGTGCTTAGAATAAAAAGAACAGAATGTTTTAACATTTTCTTTTCTACCAAAACTAAACTCTGTGTGTTTGATTTAAGTGATGATTTTACATTCAGAATACTTTTTGATATTTCTAGGCATGTTTTAAAAAATATATTTGGTTAACTTTGGATATTCCTGAAAATAATTAAGATAAAAAAAAATGAATGTTAGAGTAAGATTCGAAAATAGCATTTCTCAGTTTTAAGAGATGTGACAGTTTCTTTTTTTTTAGCATGCGAATAAAAACTATTAAAATAAGGAAATGCACCTTTTGAAAAATGAAAATACACAAAATATTTTTTATAACCTTCCAATTTACATAAACATAAAAATAAGCAATTCCAATTTCATATTTCTGAGAATGCAATATAATTAGACAAATGGTTACTGCAAGTACTAGTTTGACTTTAATGGTAAGAGAAAATTCGATCATTGTCCATGTATGGTCATAAGGACAATAATTTCTTCAATAACCCGTTTCCTATGTCCATTCTCAAACAAGAATCAAATGGAAAGTTACAAATTCTCTTTTCACCACCTTTTTTATTCCTCTTATTCTTAGTTGGAAGGATAGTGAAAATAAAAGTCACGAGCATATGGATATTGTAATGGAGAAAGGTAGTGCATGCCAACTGCAAAATTTAAATTTTAAACAAATGGCACTCACGTGCTTATAGTGAAAGCATATGATACCAAGTGGAACAACATTCGTGACGTTGACAAGGAAATTTCAAAGCACTAAACTAAAAGACCAAAATTAGGAAATGGAGAAATATTGAAGAAAATTCCAAGAAATTACCACCAATGAGTGTATGTATATACTACAGAGGCAAGAGCTAAGGCTTACTTTGATTATCCATTATTCCAGGTATTATCTTCGAATTACTAATATAATATGTCTTCAACTTTTGACTCTGAGTTGTAATTTGTTGGGTACATTCATAAATGGATAGTAAAACATTTACCAAAACTGTAGTTGTTCGACATAATTTTAAATCTCAAACCATGATTTGAGAAAAAATGGGGAGTTTGAAAATCATCAAAGTTTTTCCTTGTATATGACATGTAATGCACTTGTTCTAGTACTTTTTGAAAGTGTTCTTCATATATATGTATATATATATATATATATATATATATATATATAGAAGCCATTGATTGTAACACAGAATCCCCACCCAAACTTTTGATGGTAGGTAAATCTATTTCCAAATAATTGTTCCTTAATTTTGAAGTTTGGTTATACATGAAAAGTATGTAGTAACATGAGTTCACTACTTCTCTGTAGGTAGAAGAACACTCATTCTCATCTCCATGACTTTCTTGTGTGAATTGGAATGCAAATAGCTAACAAAAGTAGGGCTCTTGGCTGGCCTATACTCTGGCAACAACCTTCCAGACTTGTACCTCACACCACATGCATTGCATAGAGTCTTTGGACCCAATGGTCCTGCCCTCCACTGTGGGGTCCTCTGAGCCAGACAATGTGTGCACCTTCTGGGAATTGGGTGCTGTCCATTATTATTATTACTACTATTGTTAACTTCACCCTCATCACAACACTCCACCAATTTCTCCTTCTTCACCACAATCCCCTCTTCATCCTTCTTCTTTGGGACAATGAGTTCACTATCAGCCAACCAATAGGCTTGTTTCAAAAGAGGAGGGTCAGAACTCAACACTTCAGTGCTGAAATCATGTGACCATGTGCTTAGAGTGTGTTTAGTCCTAGGGGCTGAAAGCCTCTTCCTCTTGCTCCTGGCTTTCCCTGGCACAGCAAAATTCTGCAAAGAACAGTAACTTTGTTGGGGTCTTTGCATTATGCTTGAAGGCTTTGTGCTAGTGCTTGCGGTTTGAACACCAGGTTGTGCCAAGAGGCAACTTGGCCTACTGGAAAAACAGTCTTCCACAAACACCGACAACCATTCCATGCCAAAATCCACTTCCTGCTCACATTTTAGGTACCAAAAAACAGATCAATTTAGTTGGAACAATCACATAAGGCGGCATATAAACACATATATAACCACCAACAAATATTAAAACATGAGTAAATTCTTTGGTTAGTCCATGTGGTTATCTTTGTTTCAAAATTTAAGTCTCTACATGAAAAAAATTCTAAATTTTAGTCTTTATATAAACATAAAAACGAAGTTTTGATTCTTGGAGAAGAATTTCTGTCACTGTCAGTATAAACTTGCCACAAAAACTTTCTCTAACAAAAAAAACCCCAAAACAATCTTCTCATATAAGACTGATAGGTAAGATGGAAACAAATGACCAGTTTAAGCTTAAAACTTTAAAGTATTTGCAAATTGTATATTTATTCACACAAAAGAATCTCTTCCCCAGCATTGGAACCAAAAGGGGAGTTATGAAGAAGGAAAAAAAAACTCACGTAGTACACCTAGGAAACAGGAAGCAAGGCAAGAAAACTTGATGAAACAAGTGGCAAAAAAGCAGAAAAATGGAAAGGTAGAATGAATTGGCCAAAACACACTAACCATGTTCTGATGAGAGAAAAGGTCATCAAGGGTGGGAAGCTCTTGCTGAAACTCAGTAGAAACTGATACATTTCGGCAAACATCCATGTCCATGAGCAAGAGAGTGAAACTGAAGAAGAGGAATAAGAAGGAGGAAAAGGAGAGAAGCAAGGTTAAGTTTGAGTATGGTGTTACATGTCGCACAACTCAACACTCTCTTTATGGTCCTCAGAGTTTTTGTCGGCAGATAAAGGTGAAAGAAAACAGATCAAATTTTAAAAAATCAATCCGCGAGAAAGTTAACATCCCTGTCTCATGCACACACTCACCAATCAACATCTCTCGTTTTACATTACCATGTTTACCCCGTAACACCAACTATCTTTATGCACCCTTTATTACCTTGTGTTATTCCACCGTGTCTTCTTCCTTTTGTCATCAAAATAATCATTCACGGTAAACTAATTATTTAATATGATAGTGAAATAATTTACAATACTTCGTCCAAAGTTTTCTCTTTATTTTTTATTCAAATTTTGGTTAAAAGTAAAAAGGTAGATTTGATTGCCAGAACTCTTGTTTGCATAGTTGCTTTTCTGTGGCTACAAGCACATTTCTTCGTTTGAATCATCTACGAACTCATAATTATTAGCCTATATATATATATATATATATATATATATATATATATATATATATATATATATATATATATATATATATATATATATATATACCTTTTAAGAATAAGGAAAGTTTAATTGAAAATTTTGTCAAATAATAATAATAATAATAAGTTTTTTTTCGTTTGAGTTTTTTCACGTCATGAGTAATGATTTATTGATGAATGATGAACGAAAACTAAATAAATTAGATAACAACAAATGATATGGATATACAAAATAATGTAACGTATTATTGTTTTGATTTATTTTAACTTCTTTTAATAAATAAATAAGTATATATTTAAATATTTAATTAACCAGTACATTAAGCAAAAATTTAAAATATGACAGTAAAATGTATGTGTAAAAATTAAATTGTATGAGCCTAGATTTTATTATTTTAGGAAGTGGTTTAACTAAGTAAAGATTAACATTTTATTAGTTAAGTTAAAAAAGATATAAATTAAAAACATAATATTCAAATTTTATTTTTACAAAATTATTATTTTTCTAAATTTTTTTAAACTTTTGACTTTTTTCTAAGATTTTTTTTATCCTTGTGTATCGTTTTTAAAGCTCATTATAGTGTTTTAGGTTAGAGAACTTGAATAATTGTTGAAACTTTCACGGATTGAAAAATTTTGGTCATTATGACTTAGTAAATTTATGATATGAAATTGTGTAATGTATGACATTGAGCTCAAAAATAAAATTTATGTATAAAATGAATTGTGATAAAAGATAAGATAATGATTTGTTTAAATTAGATTAAATTGAGGTTGAAAATTTAGGATTTAAAAATATGCATGATTATGATGTGTGAAACCATTGGATAGGGAAATTTGAAAAAAAAAAATTGATAGCTAAAGGATTGTTACCGTGATTGGAGTGTATAATTTTGAATATCCATGGTGTGGCACCGGTGGTAAGAAACTCTTTTGATTTGTAGAAATAAGATAGATATGGTTTAACCAAGTTGGCTCAATTTTGAAATTTTGATGAGCTTCTCATTTATGCATATCCCTTAATAGAATAGTTGATCACTTAAATAAAAATGTCATCTCAAGCAAAGACTATTTTGAATTCTTCTTGCTCAAGTGAGGAGTTAATTACTTGAGCGACAAGACGGGTAGAAATGAGAAAATTGTCTCAATTTTATTTTCACTTAAATAAGATGTTAGTCACTCAAGAGATAAATATTTTTGTTTAAGGGAACACCCAAGTGGAATATGGGTTCTAGGAGAGACGTTGCTCAAATACATCTTTAGATATGATAGGTTTTTTTAGTTCAAATTCTAATCTATTATAATTTTATATAACTATAATTATATAAGGCACGTGTGTGACTTAGAAACATAAGTTATTGACATGAATGACAAGATTCACAGAGTTATGATGCAAATTTTATAATGTAAAATTAATATGTTTAAATGTGAAAAAAGTTAATTTCAAGAAGAAAATACTATATTGAGATATGTAGGTTGTGGATTGAAGTGGGGATTATATATGAGAAATTTTATTCTACTTATACTTGCATATAAAAGAAAATAGTAGAGATTTTACTCTAGTTTTGTATACAAGCATTGAATTGGAGATACAAATATTCACTTGTCATACTACATTTCCTAAATAAATATCTTTTGCATATGTTTATAATATAAATTCTTCTAATTCTTATAATTATAATAATATATGTTCACTTGCTTCATCAAAAGATAAATTACAATTTTGAACAATCTAATAAGATTTATGCTAGGTAAATGACAAACCATACAAAAAATAATCCTAAAAAGATATTGATATAGGTGATTTGTAAGTTGTTTGAGTCTAGAGAGCACCATCTAATATTTAATACTCTTATATTTCCTAATTGGTTGAATAATTTTCTTTATGCCTATTTTAAATAATTCAACTTGATCCTTTGTTGTGGATGATAAAATATAAATATTTTATGCATAATTCCATATTTTTCAATAAAAAAACATAAGATCTATTACAAAAATAGTCACTTGATTACTAATAATAGCTCTTGAAATCTCAACCCTACAAAATAAATTATATATTCACAAAATCTACAATAATTTTAGGGTCATTTATTTTGGTGATTTTGATTTTCACCAATTTAAATACATAATCAATAAAAAGCAAAATATAATTAAAACAAAAAAAAAATTGAAAGAAAATGATCAATAAAGTCTATACCACATATATCAAATATTTCATAAAATAATAATGATTGTTCAGGGATTTGATGCTTGTAAGATATATTATTACTTGCTTTTTTTTTTTTTTACATATTTAACATGATTTACAATATTTCCTCTTTAAGTATGGATGACCTATAAAAATATGCATAAAGAATTTTTCTTGCAGTTCCTTAGGGACCCAAATGTCTTTCCATAGATAAATATGTATACATCTTATAATAACTTTATCATTAAAAAAATTCATAAATATGGATCATATCTAATAAAATATTTAGAATCATGTTTTGGTTTATCTTTTTTGTGAGAAATATTGAAAGGATAAATAGATGCAACTCTGCATTTCAAGGTCTGTAGTTTAAATTAGAATAAATCATCATATTATCAATATTATAAAGATGTTTACTAGGAAAAATGTTAGAAATAAGATCTTTGTTTAAATTTTTATCAATACGACTTAAAGAACTACCACTAAATTTTAAGTACAACTCAAACTTTTAGAACAAAAAGTGTTCATCTAATTAATCTAGGGTTAGAGTCATGTTTCTTTAATAAATATGAGTGCAAAATGATTAGTATAAACAATAACGCGAGAATAAAAATATTTAAATTTATTCAAAGCAAAAATAATAGTTAGTAAATAGCTAATAACTCTTTCTTTATAGTAGTATAGTAAACTTGTACAAAATCTAATGTTTTAGAAGCATAATAAATGACAAAGAATTTTATTTTCTCTTTGTCTACGTACAACTCCTAAAGAATAATTAGAAGATTCAAAAAATTTCATAAAGTAATTTCCAATTAGGAGGTCTAATAATAGAAGTAGAAGTCAATGCTTGTTTCAAATAATCAAAAGCTAGCTTATATTTATCATCAAAATTCAATGTTACCGCATTAACATAGATCATAGAAGAGCAATTTTACAAAAGATTTTTAATAAATCTTTTATAAAAACGTGCATGACCAAAAAATGAGGGCACCTCTTGAATAGAAGAGGAATAAGGTAATTAAATGACAAATAATATTTAGCATAGCATGATTTACTTGATTTTCATTTTTAGAAATAATATGATCTAAAATAATATCTTATTTTACCATTAGAAATTATTTTCATAATTTAAATAAAATCACTTTCAATATATTTCTTAAATACATTATTTAATTTATCAAGAAAAGTATCAAAAGAAGAACCATAAATAGAAAAGTCATGTATAAATACTCAATAATACTCCAATAAATAAGAAAAAAATATTATGTATACATCTTTGAAATGCACTAGGAGCATTACATAATCCAAAAAAATTATTCTATAAGCAAAAGTTTCTAAAAGATAAATAAATGAAATGTAGTTTTATGTTGATTTTCAAGTGCAATACATATTTGAAAATAACCATAAAAATTATCAAGAAAACAATAATGGGATTCACATGTTAATCTTTTAAGCATTTGATTAATAAATGAAAAAAAAATTGATCTTTTCCAGTAGCTTGATTTAATCTTATATAATTAATATATATTCTCCAACTATTTTGAATTCTTTGAGGAATTAATTCACCACCTTTTATATTTTTAATAATAATTAAACCAAACTTATGGGATACAACTTGTGTAGGACTAACCCAAGTACTATTAGAAATAGTATAAATTATACTTATAATAATTTAGTAACTTCTTTCTTTATAACTTCTACTACTTGAGAATTAACTCACGTTTGATGTTGATGTTGTTTAATTAGTTTTGAATTTTCTTTTAAAATAATCCAATGTATATATAAGAAAGACTAATACCTATAATATTATCTAACATTTAACCTATAACTTTTATATTTTCTTTAATTATAACAATTAATTTAGATTTTCGCTCATCATTTAAGAAATTAGAAATAATTTAAAAAAATAATCATTATCACATATATATATATATATAAATTAGAAGGAAAATGTTTTAAATTAAGAGAAAAATTATTTAACTTTGACTCTTTAATTTCAAGAGAAACATAACTATTTTCTAATATTTTTAATATTGGAGTTTTGTGGCGAGTGAGTTCAACTTGCATTCAACACTTTTCTCAAAATAATTATTCAACACAAGAAAATTTTCATTGAGAAAATTTAACTTTCATTTAACACTTATACAAGAAAAATCGTTTCGCAACAGGAAAATTCACTTAACAAATTCAACTTTCGTTCAACACCAATATTTTGGTACGAGTTATTCATTCTTTTGTCATGAATCAAATTCAATT